CGGTAGCGACCTTAATTGCATCAATATCATCATTACTTCGTATGAGTACTAATTCCTGTTTCATATTCAATATAATTTTGCGGTAGTCTTCAAAAAAGCCCATCCACATGCTTAGAGGAATGCATACGTTGAATTTACCGGTTGATAAAAAGTGCGATTCTTTGGGATACCAACCAGCATTTTGTAATTTAGTACTTTCATTTTGATTGTAAGAAAGATAACCTTTCAATGTTGAAGTGAGTCCGACGTTTCGAACAGAATCAACAACAACACCATTCAACTCATATCGAATTTCTCGGAACAAAAAGCTAAATGCGTTATTGACAAATTTAAAGTTTTCAGATGGAGAACCATCAGCTTTAGTGAGTGTTCCTTCAAGGTAAAGATAGCTTTGGGACGGTAAAGTGAAGGTATCCAGTTCTTGAATAGCAATTCTAATTTCATCATTATAATCAAAATTAGCATTAATGTACGGTTGATAGGTGTGATACTCCATTTCAGTAATGGAGGTGTCAAGTAATGGCTGTTCTGTCACGTTCAAAATGCTCATGTTAGATCAATTGAAATTCCAACGACTTTAAAAACTGACGATTATCAATCGTTAGACGACGTCTATAATTTGGACGAGGTGACGGTACGTTGGTTGGTGGAGTACTAGCAAAAAAACTCTGCGAATCTTGTTTTTATAGGTTCGATTGGAAAGCACCGAATGTGGAATATTGTATCTAATACCCATTACGTATTTTGCGCAAGTGTAAACGTATGATAATGGTTTCGTTTCTAAAGTTTACAAGATCGTTGTTTTGATCAAATACAATCTCTCATAAAAACCCCCCTAAATTTTGGAATTATCAGTTGTTTAGCCAATTGAAGTAACTCTATATTAGTAAGAGCATGACGAGGGAGTTTTTTAGCAGTTTTTTTTATAAGGTGCCAAATATAACCCTTTTCCTTGTTTAGATTGTTCTAACGCTAAATTGTGACGTTTTTGTTCAGCCAACTGAGCCTAATTGGTTTTCGCATCCGAGACTGCTTTGGCAATTGACGCCGCTCCACCTCCAAGTGCACCTAGCGCACCAAGTAGGGGAAGGAGGATAGGTAAAAATCCCCCTTTTTTAGGTATCGGTAAAAGTCTCGAGTTTTGTGTGATGCGTCGTTTTTTACAGAGATCTTGTCCGCTTATTAGTTTTTTTCGCAATCCTAAAATGCTTTGTGACTTGCGAATACGAGAAGAAAACTTTTTCGACTCATGCCACTACCCAATTTCTGCTTCATCTTCATGACCGCTGAGACACCCAGTGCAGCTACTTTTTCACCAAGCGATGAATCCGATGCAGCAACCCGCTTGAGGGCGTGATCAATTAAGAGGTTATCGGCTTTACGACGAATTTCACTTTGTTTGGAGGTAGCGTAAACCAGATCGTGCTGCTTACAGGCCTCGTCTAAGCGATTAATTCCGGTATCACCTCTCTCAATGCGTTGCTTTAAATTTGTTCCAGGTCCACAGAAATTATATCTCGGGATATGCAATTCAAGTGGTTCAAGTCGGTTTGTGACTGTTTCTCCTCGCACGGAATGCAGTCATTTTATGCTTCTAGCAAGTAACGGTTCTCAGATATATAGTAGACTGTGCTAGAAGTATTGATATCAGTACAATTTATAGGCTATCAGAATGAAGATCGAACCATCAGTCGTACAAGTTCGTGTAACGAATTTTGATGGACTTGCACAGGAAGGTGCGCTTAGAAAACATGGTAACCTATTCAATGGTACGTCTAAACGCGCGTTAGTTGTAGTTCCAAGCGGATCTGGTAAAACTAATGTAATGATCAGTTTGTTAACACATCCTAATGGATTGAGATTTGAGAACGTTTATCTGTACTGCAAGTCGCTGTACCAACCCAAGTACAAATATTTACAAGAACTACTAACACCGCTTCGCGAAATATGGTATTATGAATACAGTGAAGATGCAAACATTGCGACACCAGAAAACATTAAACCAAACTCCGTAATAATTTTTGACGACGTTTCATCATGTAATCAGGATATAATAAGACAATATTTCAGTTTTGGACGACATCGTAATACAGACTGTTTCTATCTTTGTCAAACGTATACTGCCGCACCCAAACATAATTTAAGGGATAACATAAACCTACTCATACTATTTCCTCAAGACAATTTGAATCTGAAACATATCTATGATGATCATATCAGCCTAGACATGTCATTCAACGAATTTAAAAGCTTGTACAGTTTGTGTTGGCAAGAGCCACATAGCTTTGTAGTGGTTGATAAAGATTCTCCAAGACAGGGAGGCAGGTATAGAAAGTTTTAGCAGCAACATAAATTTGTAACAGTATATATATATATATATATATATATATAACTATACTCTGTGCAAATCTTAGGGTAGTACTTATATAACATCGAAGGTAGACAGATGGATCCAAAACTGGCCAAAGAACTAGTCAAAACCAGGAAAGCGGTTAAACAAAAGTATCTCACACTTAAATCAGATATTGCAGCAACGGAAAGGGAATTACAGCAACAGTTTAAGCCGATCTCAGAACCGCTGCAAAAACTCTTATCAAAAGTTGAAGCACCTAAACAAGAATTGCAGATCAAAGAAGAACAATCTACACCCCCATCAGTGACATCCACACCGAAGAAACGACAATCATTCAATAAACAATTATCAGAAAATGTATACCAACGATATTTACCACCTGTCAACTACAGCTTTCTCGAGGATACATATTCAAACCTTCCGGAGCCAAATCGCAGTCAAGATGTATCTACCGTTGAAGAATTTACTCCAAATGCTACGGTGTTGGAGGCAGAAAACCAGCAAATCAATGAAAGCGTGGCTCGAGTGGCGCAAGAATTCCACCAACTAATTGATACACCTGCATATTAAGAGTATCTTGAAGGTTTTCACCCAGTACCTCGAAAATATGTTGATAAGTCAATTCGTGGGAACGAGCCCGAGTTTGATCGTTATTATGGATTAACATATGATATTGTTTCTGACAAGTTTCAACTCGGTAAAAGTCCGGTTACGCTAGACGGAGCAAATATCGTGGTGGAAAATGTAACATATCCTGGCACACCTGGATTATATGAACTGCTTTTCAAAAAAGAACCAATTGGTTATAAGCAGAGTGATCTAGATCAGTATATGGATATTCTAAGTCGCACAAATGCATATCGCAGAAATTTTGAACCTAATACTCAAATACAGGGTAGTACGTCCTACAAATATCTAAATATAATTCGACCATACTTACATCAGCAGCAGGGCATACTCAGATCCGGCTCCTTTGAGAAACCTCCACCTCCTAAGAGTCAGTTACGATGAACACACTCATTCAAACATACAGGTCAAGGAATGCTCCACTTATCAAATAAACCAATCGACTACATCTATTTTGATGATCCAAATGAATTGGTTGCTCGTTTACGTCTGTTGTTAGCTTCACAGTATGCTGGTAATAATGGACATCGTAACGAGATTATGTCTATAATTGAGGAGTTACGTGAATAAAAAATTATAAAATGAGTTTGTAACGTAAAATTACTTTATTTACATTGCTGCAGTTGTAGGATCAAGATGCCGATTGATAAATTTGGAAGACATATGCTCCGCTCAAAGAAGACGGACACTGCTGCAATCTTCAGTACTTTTCTAAGATCCAACCTATCCAGCGTATGTGTGGTACCCATTTATTCCTCCACATCCAGCGAGCAGTTTTACACATTTAACGACAATAGCAAGGACTATATCGTTCCAGTGACTGGGATAGTTGATAGTATAAAAGTTCCGCCAAAAGTAAGAGTGACAATTGGTTTACCGACCACACCTCTCACGAAAGGTGATATTCTCCATTTCTTCACATCTAAAGAACCCAGACCAGAGCAGCTTATAGCAAATATTGTAATGCGCTGTCCATTGATAAACAATGATCGACTTTAGAAAGCAGGTTGTTGAAGATCTTCATAAGCCAGCTCCCCGAAATTATAGACGTCGGCGCGTTATTGTGAAGGGGGTTAACGATCTCTTGCAGGCAGATTTGGTAGAAATGCTTCCGTATCAGAAAGTGAACAAAGGATTCCGATATATTTTAATTGTCATCAACGTTTTAGTAAATTTGTGTGGGCAGAACCAGTCAAACGAAAAACCGGAAAAGATGTTACAACTGCAATGAGGGCGATTCTGTCGCACATGCAGTCAATTCCAAAAAATTTACAAACAGACTTGGGTAAAAAATTCTACAATAGTGATTTAAGTTGTTGGAAGAGTACAAAATTAATCATTACAGCACGTACTCATCGACCAAAGCAAGTGTGGTGTTGAAAGGGTGAATCGGACTTTAAAGAATCGCATGTGGAAGCAGTTCAGCCTTCAGGGATCATACAAATGGCTAGATATCCTATCGTCAGTCGTTGACGGGTATAATAACACCAAACATAGTACAATTGGAATCAAACCCAAAGACGTAAACAAACGTACAGAAAAAAGATTATTGAATACGGTTTATACACATTTGAAAACGGTAGATCCAAAGGGTGTAAAATATCAAACTGGGGATCATGTCCGCATAAGCAAACATAGAACAGCATTTGCTAAAGGATACACTCCTAATTGGTCCAATGAAATTTTTACAATTCGTAAAGTACAGTATACCAATCCTACATCATACTTATTGGCAGATTGGCGTGGTGACGAGATACTAGGTGGATTTTATGCTGAAGAGCTTCAAAAAGTCAAGTATCCAAACATCGATCTTGTGGAGAAAGTGGTTCGACGTAAAGGCAGTAAAGTGCTAGTCAAGTACTTAGGACTGGATAGCAGCTATAATTCGTGGATTAACAAAAGTGATTTACTTGTATGATAAATGTACCTCTATTTTGTCTAATGATTTCTATAGCACACTTTTTTTCAATAAAACACTCTACGTAATATAAGATTTTTATTACAAATATACTGAGAATAGTTAGGATAAGTAATTTGAATAAAAGTTCAGTGTTGGAGCCTTGTTGAATTCTTTCAAGTTTGGATATTGGTATGCCAGCTCCATAGCAGTCCTGATGTTCTCCGAATGCGGCAAATCAGAGATGTGTGCATAATGAAGTCTCGCACATCGATGTGCTTGGTTGTTACATCCTGGAACTCCTGAGTTTCAACATATTCATCGTATAGGCAATCAGCGGGGCTAATTGAAATAACTTCAATACGGTCTCTTTACCCAAATAAACTACATTACTCCACCGATCTGCAATTTTGATGGTTTGATAATCTGGAAATCTATCAAAGCTGATACAGAAGGAGTTACCTTGGATCGGATGGAAAATATCATCATTGAAGAAAAAATTGGTTATAATGCCTTCTTGACTCGATACTTCATACCAGTCTTCTTCATTTAACGTAACGCCCTCGGTTTTTAAACCCTTGATATTGAGTACAGGTTGGAAGCTCCACTGATATGCTCGCCCAAGTAATCCATTTTGATTTAGATGGATTTAGATGATAGCGTTGCTCCTGGATGACAATTAACGGTGGCTGAGCTACACCACTTTGTACAGATACCCCTTTGTCGTTCTGCACATTTGCAACGTGTTTGACACCACCGGCACTACTCATGTTGTAACACTATGTGAAATGTAGAAGACTGGTATGTGATGCTGAGTAGCTACTTTTATACAGTGTCGATACTCCCTCCACTCACAAACACTCCCCTCTCAAAAATTGGCGCAGGTGCAATGGAAAATGATACTACCATTCATGAGATACATTTATTTATGATATATTTCTGTCATACAACACAGCAAGAATTATTGCGTTTTGGATAAACCGCATAAGACACTCAAACATGCAACATAATCTTCAAATTTGGTGGATGGCCATTTCACACCACATGGTCCAGAACTCCATCCTAGTGACTTATCTCCAATGTTACCTTTAGCTACGTTTTTCTTTAACCATTTAAATACAGTATAATGTCTTATCTTATTTTCTATATCAAATACAAATTTAATATCATGCTGCTGTATCACATCGATTAGACTCTTCAGTGATGCACAATCAGCCAGATATGCAATTTTACATATGGTTTCATCGATATGGGATACAGTGTTTTATATCTCTTAGTAATATTTTCTACAGGATGTGGTTTATCTACATCTTCATAGTTACTGTCAGATAACAACTTACAGAAATAGTATTGTTCATATGCTGATGGTGTGGAGTGCATGTTCGTCAGCAGGTCTCCAAATTCTTTGATGCTTAAAACCTCACAACCTGTATCCTTTAGACTTTGCAGCGTTTCCTGTACCACCCAGTCAAGATATTTCTTTCTTGTTATTACACTGGAAAGCACATCGGGGTGGCAACTATCTGCATTTGCAATCCAGTTGAATACTTCGTCGGTACTGTAATTTCCTCCAGTACAAAACTCAGCACTGGAAATTCTCGTTTTTCTGGATTTTGAGACACAAACTGTCGGATGTTTTTTCAACACCTCTTCAGTTACATGACATAATTGCATGAACAGTGAATAGTATGTCTTGGTACTCATCTTTAAAACTGAAGAAGGTGAGTGGGTAAAGCATATTTATATTCTTGTCCCCACCACAAAGCTCAAATTTCTGATCATTTCATCTGATCACTAGTCAACTCACTGGCTTCGTTCATTAAGCGCAGCAAGAGTTCCAACCGCTCTCCGTCCGACATTTATGAAAGGTGATATCTTGATGACCCCAAGCTAATGTCTTTGTTGAGTTTGGTATCAAGAAACGTTTATCATCCATACTGGTCAATGTCACTTTTCTTATATAATTTGTGTATATATTGTGCGACTCCGATTTAAATACATAAATCGTACAGTACACATATGTCCGTTTCTCCTCAACAATATCTTTATAATGTAACAAATGTAATTGATGTTTCACACTCGCCTTAGATGTACCTTTAGCTCGTTTAGCCACTTGATCTACAGCATCGATACAGTATGCTTTGGGACCTGTACCATAAAAGGCAGACAGTACCTTGCCACCATATTCGTCTTTCATCTTACCCAACTCTGACGCTGTTCGAGGCATGTTATGTGGGTTGTCAGCATCATAATTGGATGTGTCAAAGTAATGCACGTGTGATTTCATGTCTTCATAGAAATTATCGGTTTCAACATGTACTATTAACGAATCAGTGTCCGTGTATGCTAAAGACACCTTATTACTATATTGGTGCTTCAGAAAGTTATAGAAAAAGTCATATATTACCGTTTTTGAGACATCTAAAATACAAAATCCAACATATGTGGGACGGCAATAATCAATCATTTTTTTTCATTTGAATAGCTACTAAGTTTTCAGAAAATACTGTGTTCTTTAAAAGTTGGTTTACTAATATAATTTTCAGCACCTATTTTGTGTTTCGATTTTTCAAATTGAGTCGCTAATTTGATATTGACTCTGTTCTCATGTTTTCAATCGTTTTGCCAAATATACAATTGATCATTAGTTTGACAAATCTCTTTCAAACGGATTCAGTGCTGCATTTCTAAGTGCCGTGTTTAACAGTATATAGGACTTTAACCACGCTGCTTGTGTGAATTTGATACCTCTATGAATTTTCGTAAGATAATACCATGTTTCAAACATTGTTTTAGATTACGATAATGGATAATGTAGCGCTCTTTGTTGTGTAAATTTGGAATTAATTTTGAGCTTTGACTGTTGGGTGGTTTAAAATTTTCTGGACAAAATGGTAAATCATTGAAATAATCATGAAGCTCATTCGGTATTGTTAAATCAACTTCTAATGCATATCCAATATCCGATGTATCTGAAATTTGTGTAATTGTTTCTTGAATCCTATCCATCTCATGTTGCGTTAACCAAGCAAAATGACCCGTCGGTAGGTACAGCTGCATAGTATATCCATATAAGTTCGGCACATCAAGGTACATTAAGTACGATGATGCCTTTGATGGATCGTAATGAGGTAAACATTTATTGTTCGCCTCGACTTTCCGTGAGGTACATGTGCTGACTCCTCCACGAATCCCCTTTTTAAAAAAATGTACCATATCCACATCTGTAAGCAGCTCTAACTCTACTTTAGTATATCGTAGCATTGCATCCCAACTCAACCAGGAGCTGTAAAATAGTGAGCTGGATCCAGCTTGTACGTTTTTAAACACAAATCTCTAAAATTTTCAAAGATATCTGTTAAAAGAAGAACATCCGAAGTCAAGTAAAAGTCCGAGTATTCCCCCAAATTTTTACACCCCATTACTTCCCAAACATGATGTGCCCGCTCATAATCCTCGTCTGCAATGTGTTCATCACGTATTTCGTCATAAAAGTCTTGTTGGGATGGTAAACATGTTTATTGTATTTATCAAATGTTTTAAGATATGTATAGGGAAATATACCTTTACATCTCATGTAGGAGAATCTTTCGTCCTCGGGAAACACTTTTCGTACTGTCCGACATTGCTCTGCACTTAAAAAGGATGCCAATGTTTCTAATTTTGACGACAGAAACTGATATGAATCGACAAATCTCATTTGCAAAAATACGGTTTTTTGTTTTCCCTCTTGGGAAATGTACGTGTCTACCGGTACTAATTTTGTAAATGACACATATCTTTCAAAAGATTGTGGAATCACTTTAATTTGTTCTTGATTCATAGCTAAGTGTTTTATGAATAGATGAGCATAGTTCTTCAGATTGTGGAAAAATATTGGAATATAGTTCGGAGTCTTATAATTGAGATTGCATTTACTATGCGCCGCACCACGATATTTCCCTGTGAAATGACAGTGATCCCTAACTTTTATATTTGTATTGGTGAATGGTTGTTCACAAATGAAACATGACTCTGCTTTATTAAACGAAGCTTTATCGTACGTAGTCATTTTCATTTCTACATTTTGTGTTAAATATTGATAATATATTAATTTAAGATCAGCCTCTAATCGAGCAACAAAAATTTTTGCTGCATCCTCACCCCTATATAGTCCAATTTGGATAGTGAATCATTAAATGAGCATTTGATGTAATAAGCAAATGAGGATGGTTTATGTTCATACTTTCTGATGGTACTTACATCCTCTGAATCGCTTGAGTCATTTTCTATCGGAGCTAGAATGCATTCAAAGTCGGTATAAACGCAAAATGGTAGCCTTAATTGTTTGTGATGCTGTTCAATTTTAGTATATTATCCATTACCGTGTTTCCAAGTCGATAACTCTCGTTTCCAATTTTGGAACCTTAACTGAAATATATTTGCAATAGGTTCGCATGTGAATTTCTAATTTTTCTTTTGAGGCAAAGTATTGTAAAACCCATCACAAAAGTGCTTTACTCTCGTATTCCGCGACAACTGACTTGAAACAAGTCTTGAAAAGTTGGTAATTAAGCAGTAGTAATGATGTTTCCTTCTGAATCATCAATAAGTAATAAGTTTAGATGAGTATGTTGTTTTTGCGCGGTGTAGTGTAACGGTCCCAGCACCTGATATTTAGGCTTCCCATCAATGAATTCCTTTTCTAATCCATAAACGTTGATATGTTATTCACGCTTTCACATTCTGATATTGACTTGAGAGCGACTGGAAATGTCATTCCAGCAAAGTTTAAGCCCGGAACATTCGAAAAATGTAGATATGACGTTGTTAGTGATGATCGACCTTTTGGTTTTACCATACCAGCTACAATTGACCATGCAAAGCAGTACTCATCGTTATTACGTATATTGAGTACTGCTTTTTTGTTCCTAATTTCCTTTGGAAGCGGCAAATATGATGCTGCTCTCAAAGGATTATATTTATTAATATTAATTTCTAAATATAAAGTCTTTTCTAACACCCACCCTGAGTCTTTTTCTGCAAAATCTTCAGATTTTTGCTCTATTTTACTTTCCAAATCATGATAGATTGCTTTTAAATTTGATGATTGTGTTATGATTACATTGTTTGTATTGTGGGACTTCACCTCTCGTCGGCTTTTAGCTGGTAAGATATATAAACCAAAAAGTTCCATATTTATTTTGAGCGTTGTTTGCTTATGCAATTCATTTTCAATCACGTTTATGGAGTCATGTTCAAGATTATTCATATATTCAGTAACGTTCAACGTGTCTATACTGGCGGTTATTTGATAACTGACTATTCTACCCCGAAATGCACTTCGACATACTGACACATTATTGTGTAAAGGTGTCCATAGATGTGCCTTATGTTTGATGCTTTTCAGATGTGCTGCATGTGCATTCCTCGGTACCTCACAGTTGCAACTATCACAGCGAATTGTTCTGCTTTCCGCACTCGTCTGTGAGTCGTTACTGGTGGTTGGACTCATTCGACTCGGTCCCGGTATTGCAACGTTGGCTGTTGAAGGATCCAGTCGTCTGGTATTGAGTCCTGTGGTGGTCTGGGTGATGCTAGCTGTAATAATAAGTTCATAAATATAAGTTATTTAATTTGGCTTAGTTGTTTGTAACTTTACCTTCTACACGTTGTTGTTCGGGTGGACTCTTCTCGCTTGTGCAGACCTCTCTACCATGTCGCAGTAAACCTTTTCGTGCCGAGAATTTTTGCCGGCATCGAGGACATTCCCACTTGTCTGCAGTGCTGCGTGGAGCGGTTGCATTACATGGACGCTTGGATGCGGGCTCCTCATCCTGGCTGCACCTCGCTCTACAGTGTCTCAACAAACTTTTCCTCACCGCGAAGGTCCTTTGGCATTTTGGACATTGGAACATTTTGTTGTGAGGCGTGCACGTATCTACTGTGTTTCTCACACATAAATCATTTATATATAATATATATTTATGCACCTCGCGTTCTCTAGTGGCATCTGACACAAAAAAACATTAGCTGCTGTACATTGATTTGACCTATTTGCAGGTTTCGTTTTTTTTGTCCCATTTCTACATATCAAGTTCGCCAACTCTTCGATCCACGTGTCGCGATTGAGTTGTTGATTCACAACACTACGTTCTGTCGCGTCCCGTTCAAGTTGCGTGAACGGCAACTCTTCGATGTAGGTGTCACGATTGAGTTGCTCATTCACCACACAACGTTCTGTCGCGTCCCGTTCAAGTTGCGTGAACGGCAAGTCTTCGATGTAGGTGTCGCAATATCACTCGCAATCGCGGCAGACACAGATGGCTCTTGCTGTTTGAGGTAGCTCCCGACATGGATGGCCTTGGCTGAGCTTCCAACAAATTGATCTCAAACGATGGCCAAGCATTCATCGTTGTAGACATATCAATGTCCGGATTGATGGATGCTAACACTGCCTCAATATCGATCTCATTTGAGGAGTTCTGTTGACTTTGGGCGATGTAATTGTTAAGCATGGTTTGCGAGCCCATGCTAACAATTTCGATGGATAACTCATCATTCCCCGAAGTACTAGCCATCGTTTGCGGGTGCCCGTTCAGCGAAGAGTCAACGGTTTCGCGTGGTGGCACAACTTGAACACACACACAATATATCACAATCCATCCCCAACCATCATGTCAAATAAAAACTGTAATATCAGGTTTTTTTTCTTTGTATACTGGAAGTCCTTAGCTTTAAGAGATCACCATAAAGGATTTCATGCTCATAATCCATATTCATCCTTCTGACATCACCTATACCTTTCCTTGCGTACATACTTCCTTTATTTCTACCTTTTATTCATATTTTTTATTTTTAGGAGTAATTTCCTTCCGTATCTTTGTCCCTGATGATTTTATGCTTTTGTTTTCCTATTGCTAACGTCTTCCTATTACCCATATCTTCTATTTCTATATTCCGTTTAGCGACATGCATTATTTTATTTTAGGGGTAATTCACCCCTATTTATTTGTCCTGTGAGTATTACATCATTTTGTTATTAGAGGTAAAGTTATCGGTTTTGCGGATGATACAGCTATTCTCTATGAAAGCAACCAGTGGCATACACTAAAAACCACAATCGAACATGATTTCAAAACATTTATAAATTTCTTTTCGGAAAGAACTTTGACAATTAATTACAACAAAACACACTATATAGCATTTTCTTGTAACGACAGGCTCTCACCGCGATTTAAAAAACTTGAAATTCATACAAGCAGTGGTCTCAAAGAGATTCAGTCAGCCGATAAAATAAAATACTTAGGCGTGATTTTGGACAAACACTTAAAATGGGATACCCATACAGAGTACCTTGTGAAGAGACTGAGATGTATTATTCCAAAATTCAGGTACTTCAGAGATATTCTAGATAAGAAATATCTATATAATCTCTATTATGCTCTTGTTTATCCTCTATTACTTTACACCACCCACATAGTTCCATAGAGCGGTTCCATCTACCACGAAGTGAGGGTGGCAGAGGAATACCTTGCATACCTACACTACATTACCGCCAAGTGGACAATCTAGGCCAGTACTTCCTCCAAAAAGCCACATCGAGCAGAATGCATCAAGCAATAACACAGACGGATAAAAAGTTGTCACCACTAAACCTTTCAGAAACATCTTTCAACCCTGAGGCAAAGATAATCCCAATGCAGGATCTGGTTCGCCAATGGACAGCCAAACCACTAAATGGTCGGTATAGGAGCCGCATAGAATACAACGCCATTGACACGAAGGCTTCCCAAGGATGGTTGCAGTCAGGTAATCTGTTCCTGGAGACGGAGGGCTTCATAGCCTCCATCCAGGATCAGGTAGTCCAACAAAGTTATACCGAAAGCGTATAATGCATGAGAACGTTGAAGATATCAGATGCCGCATATGTGGGAAAAAAGATGAGCACATAGATCATATTGTAGCAGTCTGCTCTCCCTTAGCTCGTAAACAATATCTTGAAAGACGCAATGATGTGGCTAAAATACTTTATCAAGCTTTGGCTAAAAAGCATCTAGGAGAAACTGGTACACAGCCCTACTATAAATACACGCCGCCACCTGTGATAGAAACGGAGACCTCTAGGCTGTACTGGAACCGTAAAATCATAACTGACAGGCCCATCCCCAACAATATTCCTGACATAGTGCTCACACTAAGAAAGAAAAGAAAGAACGACGTTTATAATAGACATAGCTGTGCCTCTTCCTAGTAATATCCAAACCACCCATGCGGAAAAGATCAAAAAGTATTTACCACTCTCCGACGAAATAAAACGCATGTGGGAAATGGGCAATGGGTCTGTAATACCAGTTAGCATAGGAGCTACTGGAGAGACCAAGGAAACGTACACAAGAGTCGGAAAACGCGACAGCGCCAGCCAAAAGATACGGGCAGGGCAAAAAGCTGCACTGCTGGGAACATGAGGACAGGACGTAGGTGAGGAGAGGAGAAACCGGAGACGGGGAAAAAAACCGCGGCAGAGCTAGTGCACGGGGGCGGGGAGCCGGAGGGAAGAGAAGACCTTCGACAGAGGAGGAAAATAGAGAGAAAGAAGAAGAAGGAGAACGAACGAGAAGGAGAATAAGAGAAGAAGAAGGAGAAGAGAAGAGGAAGTCAGAGGGAAAAGAATAAGAAGATGAAGAATAAGAAGAGAATAAGAAGAGAAGAAGAAGCATGAGGAAGAAGAAGAAGAAGTAATGAGGAGGAGAGATAATCAAAAAATGAGTGGAGGATGAGGATGTAGGATAAGAACAAGAATGAAGAATAATAAGAAGAATAAGAAGAAGAATAATATACATAATAAGAAGAATAACAATAATAATAATAATAAGAATAATAATAACAATAATAATAATAATAATATTATATATAATAATTAAAATACTAATAATAATAATAATAATAATAATAAGAATAATATAATAATAATAATAATATAATATAATAATAATAATAATAATAATAATAATAATAATATAATAATATAATATAATAATAATAATAATATAATAATAATAATATATAATAATAATATAATAATA